TTCCTTGAGTGTTGGGTAGAGCTCCCTGGTGGACCTATGTGGGCCTGGGACAGTGTTTAACTACAAATTTAACTTTCATAACCAAATAGCTATTCTTGTAGCTGATTTCTTCTTGGGAGATTTTTTTTTTAATGTTTACGTATTTATTTTGAGAGACAGCAGGGGAGGGGCAGAGAAAGAGGGAGAGAGAGAATCCCAAGCAGGCTCCATGCTGTCAGAACAGTGCCCCAATCCTGATCCGCTGTGTTTTCATCCCGTTCTGAGTTCCTGGTAGTTTTATTTTCTTCACTAGCGCCAACATCCGTCTCCATTCTGGTTTGATTTGGATCCTGTTTTCCATGTGGGCCATATTTTCCTGCTTACTGCCCGGCTGATAATCTTTGATTGGAGGCCAAACAGGGTGAATGTTACCTTGTAGGGTGCTGGGTCTTTTTGTACTTGTACAAATCTTAAATTGTGATGTGGGGCCTTTCTCCAGTCTCCTTAGTCAGAACAGGTGTAATTGCTGGGCCTGTTTGAGCTCCAGGTACTGCTTCCTCGGTCCTTTCCTGTGGCTCCTTCCCCAACCTGAGCTGGTTTTCCCACCGATGAGTGCTTCTGGGTCTCTGATGGACCCTCACGGGACCCTCTGCAGACCCCCAGGTCTCCATCCCTCAGGAATTACCAGCCTTCATTGCCTGAGGTCTGGCGTCTTGAAAACCATCATTTCATGCTTTTCTCTTTATTTTGTTGCTACTGTTTCAGGAGGGAGGATGAACTCTGACCCCGTAGCTCTATCTTGGCCAGAAGGGGAGGTAATAAAACCAATTTTAACAAACATTTGTTGGTATTGAGAAGATCTATAAACATGCGGTAGACCCAGAGATGTTCCCCAGATCCTGCTTCCCAGGGAGGACTTGCTGCCAGCTGCGGTGGCACTGGCCAACAGTGGTCAGGTTTCACGCTTGCTCTCTGCCATGCCCCTCCCACAGCAGCCCCCACTCGGCCCCACATGGGATACCGCGACGGGCAGTGCCGGCTCCAGTCCCCGCCTGTGTCAGGACGTCAGGCCCGCTGTTCAGTCCGCCTTAGTTCTTCCCATCCTGCGCCTCCTGCCTCAGACCCCATCTCGGCTTCTGCTTCTGCAGGACCCAGCCTGCCTCCAGCCCTCAGGTGGCCACTGGGCCCAGATACTGGTCCTCAGCGGCCTCTGTAGCGCCTCTTGTCTACATGAACTGAAAATTCATCACTAGAATGTCTCTGAGAGGCCATCTGGTCTTCAATGTGTGTCTGTGTGGCTTAGAGGATTTTGTTCTCTTGATGAAAACGTATCCAGAGATTAACTCCCAATTATTTCAGGGGGGAAAGTCATGAAATAAGAGAAATAGGCCGTAGAAGCCAGGACACACTTGAGTTGTTCATCTCATAAGAGGGTAACCAATGTCACCATTACGTGACTATGTTTGGAGGCCCTCCAAGCAACAGGAGTTCACCCATGTCTCAAGGCTCGCATTTCAGACCTTGAGTTTTGGACCCAGGTCAGCAGAGTCAAGCTCTGGAGAATGCAGCGTGTAATTTCTGCATCGCCGCTGTCTGCCTTGTGGCCCCAAAGAGAAACCCAATTGAATTAAACCCAAATGTGGCCCTGCCACACATGCAGGGAAAGCCCCCAAGCCCTGTGAATTGTACCTGCGCCGGGCGCCGCACTCTGGGTTCCCCGAGCACCAGCCGGGTGTCCTCAGCAAAGCTCCCCTTCTCTGCACAGACTCAGAAGCCCTGGCCACCCGGTCCCGGCGCGACGGGTGGTCCCCAGAGTTTGCACATCCCACGAATCGGTTCTTCACCATTAGGTGCATCTGATTGACAAAAGTTAAACGACGCTTGTTTCCCTTCATGTCCCTGCTCTATGCACTCAGGACCTGCCACGCGGCAGGCCAGTGACACAGAATGTGTTTCTGAGCAGGTTTCAAGGACACTGCGGGGGTGGAGGACAGAGGTCATGGCCGTGGCGGGTGACTGGCCGCTTATCAAGAGCATAGCACACTGGGTACTCGTGGGACCTTCACCATGACCGCCTCAGTAGGGCAGCTGCTGAGACACTGGGTGATGCCCACATGGACACGCTGCCGGGAAGGGGCAGCTCTGGGATTAGAAGACGGCTTTCTGACACCAGGAGCAAGGACCCTTCCACTTAGCCACGCCACGGCCGCCACTGGACGGACGTTACACGCGGGAGGGCTACAGATGATGCCGTGAGGTCCCAACAGCGTCCAGCCCACTGCAGGCCCGTGACAAGCTGGGTGCTGTGTGGGTGGAAGGGGTGCGGGGCACCCTTCACTCTCTCTCCACTACTGGGGGGTCCTTGGCACTCACGGGGGGAGATCTCTCCGGGGGAGATAACCACTGGCCACGATGCAGAACCACTGCGACCTTGTGGCGAATGAAACTGATTCTGGAAGGCAGAGTCTGAATGGCAACATTGAAATGCACGCTCTCCTCACGGCCCGTCACCAGCTTGGCCGGGAGCACTGCCGGGACTTCGCAGGAGGGGCACAGCCCAAGGAACAGAGTGGAGGCTGCGGCAGCCTGGATGCCCGGGAGGCTGGCTGAAAGCGGGGAGGCCCCGAGACGCGCTGGCCCTGCAGGACAGGCCCCTGGTGCTCCCACCGAGGAGCCCTGTGCCCAGAGTCACAGCAGAGTCCTGAGCGGGAGCCAAGGTCTACCGACCGGGGAGCAGTGGCCAGCTTAGCCCCAGCCCTGCAGGTTACAAAGCCGCCTGCAGCTGGTTGGCAAGTTCATGACCTGTGAGCCCCGAGCGCCACCCCCTCCAGGCTTGTTGAAAGAATCAGAGCCAGGATTAAAGCCGTCAGGGTGCCGTAGCCTGAATTACACCCAATACGGGATCGTCCTAAAGTCAGGGCACAGGGACGACTGCCTGCATCAATTTACCTTCGAAGGCCCATTAGCTGGGGCGCGGGAGGCAGAGGACACGGCTCTGCGTGAAGCCTGCTGCACACATGCATGCAAGCACACAGCGTTCTGAGTGGGGGGCAGTGCAGCAGGGGCTCCTGTGAGGCCGTGGGGACGGCTCGCTGACCTCGGCAGCAGAAACAGCCAGGCTCTCCAGACAGATGAGTGGGAACCAGGGAGGAAGGCTGCCTCGCTGGTCCCACCTCAGCCACCCTCTCTCCGGAATCTGAATGTGCTGCTGCTCCACGGTAACCGCTGAGCCCCTCTGTGCGGGCTCCCTGCACACCCGCTGTGGGCTGTGTGGCCAACAGCACACACATCCCGTCGCTGGGCTCCGGTGTGAAGAGTGAAGGGCTCCTGGTTGGGGCGGGAATGGTCTCCGAAAGCAACCCTCTACCTCCTCCATAGCAAACGCCTGATTTCAATGAGAAGGTCGCTGACTGACGTGGCAGTTGGCGAGAATGCACTGAAGCTTGTCACTGAACACAGGATTCGTAGCTGCCCCATGCTCCTCGCGTGTCTGGGCGAGCTGACTGTGCTCCACGGGGTGAAGTGTCTATGCCTCCTCAAACTTGTCCAGCACATTTTCAGCCATTCCTCCCCCGTCCCCCAGAGACGAGCTAGAACACGGAGAGGCACAAACTTGTGGCAGGTTCCCATCGCCAGCTGTGATGTTGCCATGGGGAGGGGACAGCACCCACCAGCCTTCTTCCTGGGGGCTCTGTGCGCCTGCCTGTCCCCAGGGACGCTCACAGGTGACAATGAGGCACGGGGAGCACAGACAAGGAGGAATCAGGTTTCCTGGGGTGACAGCACAGACCGGGGTCTTAGCCTTGAGAAGACGGTGTCTGAACCAGGCACTGAGGACTCAAGTGTATTAACTGCATCTTTCATTACTTCATCCAGCGCTCTGGCGTCTGGGGCCCTGCAGACCCCGGAAGGACGGGATGGTGCGTGGAGACGGGGAAGGGCTCACCTGGGGGGCGCCTTCACCTGCGAACTTCCCTGGTCACCCAGCGCCAGGTGCCAGACCCCCCGGAGCCCCTGTGCCCAGAGCCCGCTGAACTCGTCCACACTGTTAATCCAAAACCCGTTTCTTACAGTGGAAATCAGGGCAGCTCTCCTGACCAGAGCCCTCCCAGGCCGGCTGGCCCCGTGCCTCCCTGTGTGGCTCCCCCATGGAGGCGTTACGGACTCTGGTCTGGATCACCCAGCAGAAGAACCAAGCGGCACTTGGAGATCTTGGAAGGCGGGAGGTTCATTTTACACTGGTGGGCTCAGAGGAGATCACTCTCCAGGGGTCTGAGTCCTGAGCATAAGCAGAGGCGACAATTTATAGTCTGTTCACACGACAGGCGGGGTGGGAAGGAAAACCCCAAAGGGGAGTCTCCAGGCAGGGACTAGAATGCCCCTATTGGTCCCATCAGCCATCTTATCACAGATTCTACCCCATCAGCAGGTCCCTGCTCGGGGACGGTGGGTAATAACCTGTGTTCTGACCCGCTGGCTGCCGCCACACCCGGATAATAATCAAACCTGCTTTTTCAAACACTAGTATATAGACCAGACCAGGCGCCACTGTCACAGCCCATCCACCCCCAAATCCACGTGTTTGACAAACCTTTTTATTTATTTATTTACTAAACGTTCCTTTATTTTTGAAAGAGAGAGAGACAGAGCATGAGCTGTGGAGGGGCAGAGAGAGGGAGACACAGAATCTGAAGCAGGCTCCAGGCTCTGAGCTGTCAGCACAGAGCCCTATGTGGGCTTGAACTCATGAGCCTTGGGATCATGACCCGAACCGAAGTCAGATGCTTAAGCAACTGAGCCACCCAGGTGCCCCTAATGTTTGTTTACTTTTGAGAGAGAGAGAGAGTGAGACAGAATAAGTGGGGATGGGGATGGGGGAGAAAATAGGAGAAAGAGAGAATCTCAAGCAGGCTCAGAGCTGTCAGCACAGAGTCTGATGTGGGGCCTGAACTCACAAATCGTGGGATTAAACCTGAGCCAAATGCAGATGCTTAACTGACTGAGCCACTCAGGCACCCCCCTGTGTTTGACAAAGTTTTATTCAGCGCCTGCTACGCTGGAGATGTGAGGGTGAACGGGACAGACAGGCCTGGTCCCCTCAGGGATCTGAACGCTAGAGGGGGACACAGAGGCCCTGCGGCTGCCACACCAGCTCCATCCTTGGCTCTGCGGCCAGACTGTTAACCTCAACCGGTCTTTTCCACCTGTGCCACTTTGGGGTCAGCGTGAGCAGACAGCCATGGGTTCCTCTGTGGGTAAACACGTGGTAATTGAGCCCAAGATCTGAAGTGAAAGCACCAAATTTAATCCCATCTTGGTGAAAGTGGGAGCTCCCCAAGTACGCGGTAGGACAAGGTATGTGGCGGGAGCAGACGGTGGGACAGCAAAGAAAACGCACTGCTGGTACGTACGGCATGTGCGAAGCTCAGAGAAGCTGTGTGCAGTGGAAGAAACTAGGCAGAAATAACATACACCGTATTGTTCCATTTCTATAATTTAAGCGCAGCCCCCCCGCCCCGTGAAAGAAGTGGAGGGTCCGTGTGCTTGGGGCTGCTGGCCGCTCGGGCCTGGCCTGGGGGCCCTATACAGACATGCTGTGTGCACTTCCCGCGCCTTGAGGGGAAGTCAGCTGTGTGAACTCAAACACCCTGACTTGAATTTTAAGCCGGTTTCCTTGTCTGTGACGTGGCCCCCCACCCCCTCTCCCCACAACCCCCGTCTCTGCTGTTGGGGATGCTCCTTAGCGGTAACATGCTTATAGATTTAAAGGGGCCACTATCGCTGATACTCTAAAAGTGAATTTTCTGTCTCTTTGAAGAAAGTGCCTACTTAGGCTTTTGAGGAGGCCCCGTGACATGAGCAGGACTGGATTTAATAATTGCCTTGCCTATAATCCCAATGTGGGGAATGTCCTTGCGTCTTCTGGAACGTCCCTCTGTCTCGCTGGGGGGACCTGGGCTTGCACCCCCAGCACTTGCTGCGGACAACAGCGCTGGGTTCCCTTCTCTCCTGTAGGGGTGTGCGGCACCATGAGGAACTGCGGGGGTGTGCAGGGTGTGCGGCTCCATGGGGAACAAGCCGGCCGGGGCCCCTCAATGCTGGCACCCGGGATGTGGGCCCTTCCTCTTTTCAAACAAAAGTGAGGAGCATCGGCGTGTCCCGGGCAGCCGGTCCTGCTTCTCGCTGGCCTCTGCTGGCTGCTGGGAGGGCCTGGCCCACTGGGTCCTGTCCGACTCAGCTTGCCTGCTGCACATGCACTTTCCTCTGGGGATACTTGCAAAGCCCAAGGCCGCTAGGACGCTTCCCCGAGTCTGGGAGGAGGGACATCACATGAGGCTCGTCTTACAGGGTGGTCAGAGAGTCCTTGTCTCTACATTTAAGCGTGTGGCTTAGAGCCACTCTGGGGAGACCAGGGGTGGCGTGAAGCAAATGCCATGTCCACAGCTGGTGGCACTGAAACAGGTGGAAGGAGCACCTTATCTAGAGCTGTGAGGCCACCACAAGAAGAACTCTCTAGAACAAGTTCCCAGGGCCTGCCCCTGGGGGCCTGGGGCAGGGGGAGATGGAGCAGAGGCCGTGGCTTTCACTTGTGACCTTTCCTAAGATTGATCCTTTCAGCCTGGTGTGTGTGCTCCTTCAATGTGAATGTAAAGCAAGTACACAAACACGTGAAAATTCCAAGTTGTAAAATGAAAAGTACAATCAATCCAAGCATCTGGTGCTTTTGAACTGTTGCCCCTGCTCCGCGGACCGTCACCAGCCCCGCCCTGTTGAACTCCATGGTGGGGAGGTGGGCCTGGCCCGACTGCCGTTCACCACCCTGCTTCCCACCGGACCCCAGTACCTTCCCTCCTCCAGCGATCAGCTCCGTCTGCATTTCTTCCTTCTTTCCCTCCACAAAGAGCCAAGGGGCCTGGGTCAGCTCCAGTCGGGCTCCTGCCCTCCAGCTCAGGGGAGACCCCATGTGACTTTAGGTCCCGCTGGATGCCTGGTGTGTGGAAACGGTTTCCAGGTCCACACTGCGGGCCCCCTGCCCCCGGGACAAAAGGCTGTCCTGGGGGCACAGCCTGTCTCCTCCACTGCAGCCTCTCACCCGCACACCCACCAGCCCCAACATCTCCATCCTTAGTCCCAGAATGCCCCCGGCCCTGCTCTGGGGACCCTCCCTGCTTACGTCCTCTGCGTGTGTCTCTCTGGGCCGGGGTGCAGGTGCCCGAAGCGTGAAGCCCCAGGGCACCACCCCCGGGGCTCCCGGCCTGGGTCCCCCCTTCTCTGAGCCTGCCTCTGGCAGTCGGTCTCCTCATTGGTGACGGGGGGAGGGGCGGGTTCTGAGGTGTGGTGACCGGAGACCCCTGCCACCTCACCCAACCTCTCTCAGTGTCTGGCACTCCGCACGCACCCGCCTGCTGGCGTGGCTGCAGCGCGAGACATCGGGACAGGCGGGGCGCTGCTGGCGGGACGGGGCCGCACGGCGCCTCCACGGCCGCCCCCGCCCCGCGCCCCCACGGCCGCCCGCCTCGCTTCCAGAACGGCCGCGGGACACAGGCCGGTGAGACCCGTCACGGTGCACACGCCAGGCATTCCTCAGGGACAAGAAGGAGGGCACCTCCACAGACGCCGGGGCGCCGGCCGCAGCTTCTGTTCGTACCGCTCCCCGGACGCCGGGGGCTCTACGTTCATTAGGAGGCGGGAAGAAAGAAGAACGGACAGAAACGCACATCCAGAGGTGGCGGAGCCCGACGGTCCCGGGCAGCCCTGCGCTGTGGCCGCTGCCTCCTAACGCGGCAGAGCAGCGGCGGGAGTGCAGCCCCCTCGTGGGCACCGTCGGCTCCTCCCGCCGTGCGGCGCGGCGTTGACTGGCGTCCCGTGCGCCCCCCTCACGTGACAGCCCGCGTGCGGCACCGCCCGTGGGGGGGGGGGCGGGGCAGGAGTGCGCGTCCCGGCCTGCGGGCGGCCTCAAGCCGGGCGCGAACTGCGCGAGGCCCGGCCGGGCACCTGCCACCGCGTCCCCTCTCAGGTGTCTCCACACCGCGGGTGGGGGACGCAGTCCCGGGCTCCCCTGAGCCGGAGCCGCTGTCCCTCCGCTTCCCTCCCGAGGGCTCCCGGACGACGTCCTGCAGACGTGAGCGCTCCTGGCGGGACGCTCGCTTCCTCGCTCCGGACTTGCTTACGAGGCCGCGGCGGAGGGGAGACCGGAGCCAGACCCGCCGAGTGCCCGCAGCCTCCATGCGACAAGCAGACTGAGCACCGGCCGCGTGGGGCCACGTGACGGCCGCGTGGGGCTAAGGACAGCGCCCTGCGGCCTCACGGGTGCCCAGCGCCCGCCACCCCATTCACCGCGCCGCTGCCCTGCCTTCGGTTCTGACTCAGTGCAGGCAGGTCCCCGGGGCGTGCGGGCGGGCGCCGGGAGAGGTGTACACGCCCCCGCCAGCCCCCCCCGCCCCGTCTTCCAGACAGTCTGACGCTGGGGTTTTCACATCGGTGCTCTGGCCAAGGCGACCTGCACTGGAGTCTGTGGACGGGATCTGGGGAGAGCTTCCCGCCTGCGGAGATGGACCACACTCTCTCTGTTGTGCATGGAGCTATGGCAGCCGTTTCGTGATCATGAGGATCATAGACGTGGAGCCCGACCTCCAAGAGCAGCTGTCTGATGCAGGTATGCCCGGCGGCTCAGTGTCACCATGACCTGGGTTTGCCCTGCAACTGGTAAAGTGAAGCAGGGCACGTTACAAGCCACGAGGGGTGAGAGGCCAGAAGCATGGAGAACGTGGATGACCCACGACTAGAGGCAGGCAGGGCTGCTGCCGGCCCCACGGGAGCCACGGCCCCCAGCTATGCTCAAGCCCTAGACACACAGTCCCCATCCTGAGGTGAGCCCTGGCTGGGACGAGAACACAGGGGCAGGGCCAGCCCCATGCAGATACTGCCCCTGTCCCCAGATACTCGGAGCTGGCTTTGCCGTGTGGCCCAGTTATCAGCAGTGAGGTGTGCGGGGAGGCGTGCGAGACGCTTACTAGGAATCCCGCAGAGCGGCGTGGACACTGGCCCATCTGTGGATGCTGGCTTGTGTCTCCCCCAGACTTCCCCGCTGGGTGCTATGGCCCGTTCCTCCTTGTGTACGGGTCTTCTGGAGCACAGGGGTTGGGGGCACATTTGTACCTGCAAACAGAGCAGAAGTGGCAGATTCTGGAGAGGAATGGCTGGAGGCCATGACGGAAGCAGAAAACGTGGACATCGTCGGCAGAATTAGTGTCACTGGAACCACCACATCCATCAGCAATTTCTGAATCAAACTGGACTGTGGGGACACGAATGACATGATTGGCCCCAAACTGACCGAAACACCCAGAGTGTGGCCACAAGCCCTGCTGGGTTCCAGGCCGTGTCACCAGGCCTGTTTCCCTTCATCTCGGTTCCACGGGCTGCCTGATGTGTGTTCTCATTTCACATCCAAGAACCGTCCCCACGAAGTCAGAGTCACACTGAGGAGACCTCTGCAGCTAACCTGGAATCAGGTGTGAGGGAGGTGGCCTGCTGTGGCCAGAAGGGAGCGTCCCTGGAACAGGTGCTGGGGGCCCTGTGATTTGAGGGGTGCACAGGCAGCCCCAGGGACCTGGGCTGTGGGCGGGCTCTTCGAGGGGTGGCAGGCAGGGGCCAAAGAGGGCTCTCGGTCTCTGAGACCCAACCACCAGAGACTGGGAAGACCAGCCTGTCCCAGAACCCCAGATCCCAGAGCGGGGACCCTGGGGGAGGGTCTCGGGAAGGAGCCCAGGTTCAGATCTGGCGTGGAGGGTCGTCCCTGTCACCCAGCATCTGTGATCTGTGTCTCAGCTCCTGAAGGCTGTGGGTCAGTCTGGGGCCTCCACTGGCCTCCACTGTGGCCTTGGGGACTTCCAGCAAGAAGCAGGCTTCTGCTTGTGAAGACTGCTTTCTGTTTTTCATTTTTATTGTCGTTAAATAGACATGATATAAAATTTACCTTTTTAGCCATTTTTAAGGGCACCGTTGGGCAGCATTGAGTACCTTTATCCCCGCTATCCATGTCTGGAACTTTTTCATCTTCCCAAACTGAAATTCGGTCCCCACTAAAGGGCGGCGTACGGACTGGGCAGAGCAGCCTTCAGGATAAGCTTGCTCAGGTGGCGCTGCACGAGTTGGAGGAGTGGGTGCATCCAGGTGAGCCCCGCCCCCAGGCAGGAGGGGCTGTGGAGGGTAGAGCGCCCAGGAGAGAGGGTGGTGGGTCCCTGTGGCTGCTGGGTGGAGAGGGGTGGAGGCCAGCCTGTGCACTCTGGGGACAAGCCCAGACGCTGACCTTTCGGCCCCGCTGTCCTCCCTCCCCGTGCTGCGCGTTGCAGCTTGTGCGCGTGGTTCCCCTCTGCTCCTTCTCTACATGGGCCCCTTTCCTGTGTCCTCCTAGGATGCCGCTGCAGGCCCAGGTGACCGCTGGACCTGGGAGTCCGGTTTCAATCAGAAGCTGCCCTGCCTTCCAAGGACGGGCAGTCTGGTGGGGACACCGGCGTGCAGCCCCCAGACCTGACTGCAGAGGTGAGTGCTGTCCCAGGAAAGCTGGCCCAGGGAGGTCACCTGGCCTGGGGCCCAGGTGGCTGTGCAGAGGGGGTCCCTGGGATGGGCAGAGACAGAGCAGGAAGGGCCTCAGAGGTGGGGGTGTCCTGGGCCCCCAAGAGACCATGGGACTTGGAAGGGGAGGAGGGGGATGCGATGAGACCCTTCTTAAAAAGGCCGAGAGCTATGTGGGGCTGGAGACCAGGGGATGGAGCGCAAAGACCACCCCCAGGAGCCGAAGCAGAAATGGATGCTGGGTGTGGGTCAAGGGGCAGGGATTGAGGGGCGGGGGTCGAGGCAGGGTCTCTGGACGGCAGCCTAGGCCTGCCCCTGGCTTTTCACCAACAGAAATCGTGGCCGAGCTCATGGGAGAGCCCACCGGTGCATCACATCCTTATTTACGTCAACCCGAGCGTCTCTGGGAGAAGGGACCTGCACACAGTGGCCAGTCCACACCGCCGGAACCCCGGAGCCACAGCCTGACACAGGACAGCGCGGGCGCATCTGGGCCGGGTCACAGGCTGCGACCCTGTGACCTGCGGAGGCAGCAAACCCAGAGGACAGAGGGGTGGCTGTGCCGGGACAGCATGGAACTCGCACTGTGGTGGCAGAACGTGGAAAGTGGAGCATCTGACTCCATTCTCTCCATAAACCTGACTTTGAAATAAACAGCCCCTGCGGGAGGCCTTCCTGAGAGCAATGGCTGAGGAGGGGTTGGGCCCTGGGCTGCTCGGGGGGACGGTGGGGGGGGTGGCAGACAAGCATGGCCCTGGGAGCTGGGGCGGGACCCAGCCCAGTGTTGCGTCTCGCCCTGGTCACCCTGTCCTCGCTCCGTGCCTGAACTGCCTCAACAAACCTCCTCCTCCCCCTCCCTCTTCGGGGAGCGCCCAGAGCCCCTGCCCCAGCCTCCTCCTGGGCAGCCTTGGGCTCGGGATGGGGAGGATCCGAGACAGGCAGACAGTCCCGCCTGGAGGGGCCAGCCTCTAGGACACACTGCTGTATCTCCAAAAGAGATGTGTGCACCGTCGAGGCCTGCGGGGCCCACGGTGGCAGCTGGGAGGGGGCGTAGGGACCCCAGGCCGGGTCGGACATTTGGGGCACATCTAGGGTCCACACCGAGGAAGATAGTAAAGTTGTGCTGTTTCTCGCCCACCTGTGTCTGTGGATTTAACACTGGTGGGGATGGGGGTGGCCCTTTAAATATGACCCCAGAGCCACCCCGGGACAAAGAAGGATTTGGTCTCAGAACAACGGGCCGGAAGCAGCTCGACACACTGCTCTTTTGTCCTGAATTTTCCGATTTTGATTTTCCGTAGGCCGAGCCCACGTTGTCCCTCCTCCCAGAGGAATTTGGCTGTGAGGGCCTGGAAGGGCCACAGCCTGTCCTGCCTCCTCTGCGACCCGCTGCACATCCTTGTCCCTAGGGCCAGGGCCACAGGGTGCCATGGTGCGGCCCCAACGAGTGCCTCCTGGGGTGAAGAATATCCTCGGTCCGCGTCTCATTCAGCTTCCTCCTTGGCGGCGCAGACACACACCCTCCCAAGAGCCATTTCTTGTTTGCCAAGGGTTTATTTTGCACACGGGGTTTCTTCATGACTCACAGGCCCTGGGTGGCGGCCAGGATCTGTCAGGATTCCCGGGGGACGACTTCCGGGAGCACCAGCGGCGCCCTCGCAGGAGGAGACAGGCTGGGCCCTTTCTGAAGCTCTGATTAACTCGAGGGTCTGTGCCTTCGGGTTAGCTTGCGAGTGCCAGTTATCAAACCTCTCAATTGTTGAAAAATAGCTGTGCGCCCAACGCAGCTAAATCTGCGAACGTTTAAACACAGAAAGCAGACAGACGCGCGGTGGGAGAGGCCCTGCTCTGAACGGGCGGCGGCCACAAAATCCACACGTGAGTCAGAGTCCAGAAAAAACAGTGTTTCACTCTTACCAAGTAGTGTTTAGAGACAGAGCTGAGCAAGGAATGTGGGACATCTGTTCACAGGCAGATTTTCCCAAATCGTCCCTCAGCAATCCCCAGGGGGGAAACGTTTAAAATCAGAAATGCGTTTCAGTTCATGTAAAGAGTGCGGATTGTAGAAACAAAGCTCTGGCTGCAAAAACACTGCCACCCACGGAAGCTCCCAGGGTGTCCGGGGCGTTTGACCTGCCCACTTCCTTTCAACTCTGGAGAGCTGCAGTCACCATGTGGGCACACGCATGTTGGCCACGTTCAAATGCAGCCGAAGCCCCAGCGCCCCTGCAACAGAACATCTTGGTCCCTCCCGGAGAAAAGTCACGCGGCCGCTCATCGCTCTTCGTCTCTTACAAATCCGGCCTATTTCCTGTAAGAGCCTCACTGAGGGAAGATCCGAGTAAAGAGCGCACCTGGGGCACACGTGACACGTACGCACCCGTGAAACCAACACCACAGTCCCCGTTGTGAGTGCATCTCACCCCCACCCCCACCCCAGGCAGCCGGATCTGTGCTCCGTCTCCACAGGCTACTCTGCAGCTCCTACTTTGATGTCCGTGGGATCACACAGTACAGACGCTTGTTGTCAGGCTTCTTCCGCCCGGCACCGTGAGTCATTCCCGTCGTGAGTCACTGGTAGTTCACGCCCTTTCCCTGCCGCGTGGCACTCCACGTGCGGCTCTCCCACCATGGCGTTCTGCACTTACCTGTTCATGGACCAGTGTGCGCTCTCCAGTGTCTGTCTGGCTGTTCCCAGCAGCTGCCGCAGGCCGACTTGGGCAGGTCTCGACACGTGCACTTTGTTCCCGGGGACAAATGCCTAGGAACATTGTGGCTGGATCACAAAGTAGGTGCATGTTTCACGTCTGAAGCCACTGCCTAACTGCTTCCCAAAGTGTACGCCGTTTTATGTCCCTGCTACAGCGTCTGTGAGCCCCTCTCTCCACATGACCCACGCTTGGCGTGGTCAGTCTTGCTCGTTTTGGCAGGTTTCGGGGTGTGCAGGGACCCTTCAGTGTGGCTGCCATTCACATTGCTATGATTTTTCTCCAGTTACATAACATACAGCGTAATATTAGATTCAGGTGTACAATGTGGTGATTCAGCACTTCCATACACCGCCCAGTGCTCATCACACGCGCCCTCCCTAGTGCCCATCACCCATCTAGCCCATCCCCTACCCACCTCCCCTCTGGTAACCGTGTCTGTTCTCTATAGTTCTCTATAGTCTGTTTCTTGATTTGCCTTTTTTCCCTCTTTGCTCATTTGTTTTGCTTCTGAAATTTCGCATGAGTCAAATCATATATTTATCTTTTACTTATTTCACTTAGCATAATACATTCTAGCTCCATCTATGTTGTTGCAAATGGCAAAATTTCATTCTTTTTGATGGCTGAATAATATTCCATTGTATGTATAAACCACATCTTCTTTACCTATTCATCAGTCAATGGACAACTGGGCTCTTTCCATAGTTCGGCTATTGTAGATAATGCTGCTATAAACACTGGGGTGCATGTGTCCCCCAAAATCTGTATTTTTGTATCCTTTGGGATACAATTGCACCTAGTGGTGCAATTGCTGGGTCATAGAGTAGTTCTATTTTTAGTTTCTTGAAGAACCTCCATACTGTTCTCCAGAGGGGCTGCACCAGTTTGCATTCCCACCAACAGTGGACGCTCAACTGACGAAGCCACCCAGGTGCCTCTGGATGTTTTCAATGATGGCTGAGAACGAAGGATTCCCAAAGCTATACTACTCAATGGTTCCATTGTCATTATTTACAAATCAGTCTTCGTGTCAGTGTTGGGTTAATTGAGACCAGCTCATGCCTAAAAGCATAAGTAAAACAATGCACGACTGCATAACAGGATTTGTTGAATTTTTCTCCTGTCATGTTATCTGTAAACAATTTTCAACCATGTGGTATCAAGTAGACTCCTTTAAATAAGGTGATATGCTTGAGTCACATTCATAAAAATAAAAAAAACAAAGGGAATGTCATCCTTGATTTACTTGCACCGAAAATATATCAATATTGCTCATTTGTAACAACAAGAACAAAGATGTCTTGAGTCAACGATCACTTTTAATCAATTCCCAAAATTACTTGTGGGCCTTCAGATGTCCAGGACTTGGGGCAAGCACTTTGTCCGCTGCATACTGGCTCCAGGGACTTCAGATGTCTGGAGAACTGGCTGAAACAGGACGCAAACAGAAACTCTGCAAACGTATGACATGTGGCTTCTCGTGGATCCCGGTCTTCCTGAGGCAAGGCTGGGAAGCTGGCTGGAGACACGACTCGGCACATGGCAGGGTGTCTCTGAGCTCTGCAAACAGAGCAATCTGAACACCAGCTGCCCCAGCGAGCTCTCGGACCGAAGCCCTGCACTTCCTGAGCTCACATGACAGCACCACGGCAGCCCCGCCTGCTCCAGGGCACGGAGACCGTCGCTAAGTCACAAACAACGCAACGCTGTATGGTGCCAGCACGGAGCCCAGCGCTGAAAGGGCCCTGTGGTCCCTGGCGGGCGGGCCACACACAGGCGGCTTTGCGGGGAGGAGCGTGCAGTCTGGAGTCAGTCTGACCGGGACTCCTTCATCAGGCAAGTGTGAACAATGCTTCTCTCTGGCTCTGATAAGACGGCTGAGGCGGTGCGTGTGCGTGGCCCTGGCGGCTGGTTCTGGACGTGTGTGCCCTTGGTCCTGGAGCTGAATCCCGCAGCCCCGGGGCTTCTTCCTTCAGGCTGCAGAGAACTCCTCACCCACTCCAACACGGGAAAGGCAAGGCAGGAGCCCCGCTGGCTTCACAGCTCCCCTCGCCCGTCCCTCCTGGACGCCTGCTCCCCTCCCACTCCCGCGTGCTCGTCTGGAAGCAGCAGAGTCCAGGCTGACCAAGCAGCAGAGTCCAGGCTGACCAAGGGAGGGGCCATCTCCTCCCAGGGCACCTCCGTATCGCCAGGGTCTCAAGAGCTCCGAGCTAAACACATACGAGCGTTACGGTTTGCTGTGTGCACTTTTATTTGAATAAATACAAAACCTGGAGGCAGCCTGGTTTATTTCTCCCACCGACCTCCTTCTCAGGCTGGCGCATGGCCGTGGCTGCATCGTGGCTGCGCGGGATCTGCCCTCCAACCTGACCGTCGCAGACACAGGCCAACTGCCAGCCACTTGTCGAATGAGCCCTGCTGGCCCCTGTCCATGTGACACTGACAGACACGTGGATAAACATCTTTTTAGGTAAAAAACATATGTTTATAATGTACCTTTGGATAAAATGTAATCTTTTCTCCCCTTCTTTCTCAGACCAGGCACTTAAAAAGGAGAAATCTCAGCAACAGGCAATCCGGTTCATTAAAATTCACTGGATCTGGTTTCCTAAGAAAATTCAAACAGCGTAGGAGGAAATGGTACTCAGCATCTGTCACCAGAGTTAGTACGAACAATAATGACTAAAATGTTTCTGATGTGCCAGCGCCGGAGTCAGAGACTCTCATCCAAGGTTAGTCTCGCTTCCCCCAAATTTCTGTCTCTAAAATTACGTGGTAGCTTTAGTGTGAAACTGGTTTGATTAATATCACATTTGTTGGGAAAAATGATACTCGTGTGGCCTGGCCTCTGTACTTCACACAATCGTTACAGCTTCAGGTGCTGAATGACAGCCTGGTCCACAAAGAACCAGTTAGGCAGTTATGAGTTAGGCAACAAGTAGTTTACTTCTTAACTAAAGCCCGTACAGCGAATGCAGCCTACATGCTGACATTTTAGTTTAAGAATCTTAATTCTTATGATGAAAAGTGGCAGAAGACAGGGACCTAGGGTCTGCAGAAGGGTGGACGTGGGAGGTGTGGGCTGAGTGGCCCTCACACCATCAGCACAGCACCTGCCCCGGCCTGGTGCCTGATCTGTGCGGCCCTGCTTCAGAGCAGCCGCCTACACTGCCCGCCTGACCATTTCCTGTGAAGACGCTGTTTGGGGGGAGTAAGGCTGGAGGTGCAGAGAGGTTGGCAAGGCCGTCTGGAGGCCTGACCGAGTCTACTTCCTACAGTAAAAAAATCCCAACCACCTCACAGCCACGCTTCAACACAAAACTAAATCACTCTGAAAAATTATATACTTTGAAACCCTTTGACACATTTATAAACAGGAAAAACAAAAAAAATTCCAAATTTAAAAAATCCTTTAAAAATGTTGTATCAAGTGCCTTATTAGCAAATACAAAATAGCTGAAGACACTTTGTGACTTCCTTAGGTCATGGATCAGGCTGACAGACCCACAGTGAAGTTTTACTGATAAAATTACCTATTTGGTAAAAAGTCCAGCAAAAGCTCCATCAACAAAATAACTGTTTTGGAAAGAAGAATTACAACTTTGTCCAAAATGTCAAAAAGAAGAAAGATGTAAACACCGTGTACTTAACATATTAACACAATACTAATTCAGTTAAATAAATACAAGAAAGTGGCACCAACGTTATGGCAATTTTTCAACACAAAAATGTAGCTCAAGGACATTTTAAAATAAATAATTGCTCGCAACAGAAATGAGCATGCTTTGCACAAACCAAGAGCGTCTGAGATAAAGTGCGGCGATGGGAAGCAGCTCCACGCCCCCTTGTTCATCTGTACGCACGAGCACCGCCTGGGTCTCTGGGCTGAGGTGTCCACTGCAGGGAAGCGTCACTACACATCAGGCTGAGGGCCATCTTTCGTCATTTTCCTTTTTTCCTCTAGTGTGTGCTTAAATATTTTCTTTAGGGTGTCGTAAACTATTGGTCCGTTTTCAGAGTCAAAACTAACCTGGTGACAAAGAATATATGGATTCAGGACACCATAACAGAATTTTAATCAGACTGTTTTGGGAGAAAAGAAAGGGGGTGGAGAAAAACTGACTTACAAACAGTTATATACAACTAAACACACACAACTCAGGTCATACATTAATTGTAACTGAGAGACTATATTAGAACTGACGATCATGCTAATAGCAAACTTATGAAGGAAAACAAAAGATTAACTGCCTGGACAGATCCACTCACAGGCTGTCCTGAGGCAGGGCAGCTGCGAGGGTGGAGCTGTGAATCTGGGGACTAATCACCAGTGGCACGGGAAGGGCACGCCAGCCACACAGCTGCACTGCGGCCGCCTGACCGGGAGCCCAGCTGTCCACCTGCCAGCCACGCTGCATCAGCTCACACTGACCTCCGTGACACGGGGCTCTGAACCCCATCCCCCCGCCCCCCGTGTTAGCACTTTCAGGAGGAGTAGTCCGGAGAGGCTCATGGCTTCATCTGCCACATAGAAAAGGGCCCCGGAAGTCAGCTTGCTGGCCCCTAGCGGGGGAGGTGCCATGTCCGTGTCCGTGGACTGTTTGCCCAAGTTCACCAGGCCGCAGGGGCGAGTGACAGTAGGACCCAGACCGGACACCGTGCCTGGCCAGCACGTTTGTGGACACAAGGCCACCGGCTCAGAGACAGACAAGTCTGCGACTCCTGGCAGCATGTGCATCACAATCACAGGGTCCCCCCTTGCCCTCCACACCCCCATCCCTCAACGAAGTGGGGGTGATGCGGAGCAGCCCACGCAGAGGCTGCGCACGCAAGCGCCTTGCGTCACAGCTGACGACTCCAGGCTTACATGACCCCAGTGTTTGATGAGGGGCCGCAGCGGGCCTGGAAAGCTCCAGCCTAAGGGAAATAGGACCTTCCTCACGTGGCCACAGCCGCTGCACAGCCCTCTCGAAGGGCTGGCCCCGGACAAGAGCGGCCGGGCCTCCCTTCACAAGCCCAGGTACCCGGGGAGACACCCGACATCTCCCAATCTCTTCATACACGGTTTGGAACAACTGCTATGTTTAACTTTTCACTAAGATCCCCTAAAGGCCAAGAGACATTGCATAGAGTTTCCACCACCGCTTTCTGAGAAATGAACACTAATAATTTTTTTCAATTAAATTCAGAAATCAAATGATACTGTCTATCCTACCTGCAAAAACTGCTCATTAACCTTAATAGTGGTTTGAATTGTTCACTTTGCTAAGCACCCAGTTAAGCCCTCCCCAAGGGCAGGCAGCCTCATGGTCTGTGAAGACATAAATGCAGGTGTGAAGGACCATGAGCTCTGGGTCTGAGCCGCTGGCTCTGGAAACTGTTGACAGGAGACCAAGAGACCAGGTGGTTAGTGCCGCAAAGACCTGCAGGTAATGCGGCAGCCGCAGGGAGGACGGCACCTTGGAGAGTAGAGGGGAAGCTGCTGTGAACGTGGACAAACGCTAACTGGTGTCACCACGGACATTTACCGCAGACCACAGACCTGGTCACTGGTAAGCTGGGCTCTTGGTGTAAAGACGTTTCCACATCGCCCGTGAGGGGCTGCAGGGGAGGGGAGACCGTTCTCCTGGCACGGACCTGGCTTCTTGCGTCAGCCAGGAAGCACTGCTGTAGCCAGAAGGATGTGCACAGGAAGGAATCTTTTCTCTCACTTTCTGCTTAGATTTGCCAACAGGACAGGGGACCGGGTCATCGGTGGCAGATCCTGGCTTCTCAGTGGCCAGTTACCTGTTTAGGGCCAAGGCAGAGCTCCTCCTCCAGAAAAGACTCTCTGACTCCCACTAGGCATGTGATTTAGAAGTATTTCCTCAACATCCAACTGTTTCTCTATGGAAGCTCTCTGTTCCAAAGTTCTTCAAAGAAGTGCAGCTTTTTCTACAAGCACCACTGGGAAACTAGTGTGGTGCAGAGCAGTCTACAGCTGCTCATTTGAGGAATGTCAACCACACCTCCATGAAGGAAAAACAGAGCTGGAAGTTTTACTTCAGAGCAGGCGGGTGACCTCTGGACCATGCCGCCTGCAGCGCGTGACCCACCTTGGTGAAGGCTTTAATGGCACGGGCAAGGATGGCCTCCTCCACGTCCGCAGGGATCGGCTGCAGGCTCATGACGCAGTGCAACACGCAGAGAATGGTCTGGTGCTGGCCCTGTGTTTGCAGAAATCAAAGTCAAACAACAGTTCGAACAATGCCTCAAGAAATAAACTCAAAGCAACTGCAGAGCCAGGAACCGGTTGCAATCAAGGACTCACAACCTCCAACATTAAATCACCTACCAAGGGCTCTACTGGCGTTCACTGTTGGGTGTTGGTGTAATCTGAAAAGCTTTCAGGAGATAGAATTGAAGCTGAGCTGCAGGGTCACTACACAGAGTATAACTGAAAACACAGGTCAGTGTGACTGGAAATCAAATGTCTCCCTGCAGTGACCAGTGGCGATCCACTTGTTTCTGGACAAAGGTGGCTCCGTGCAGCTAGTGGATGCTGACCTAGCGCTGGGAGAGCTGGCGGACTAGTGTGGGGGTAGACGGACAGACAGCACCATGGCCTCCAGCAGTGCGCCAGCCAGAACCTCGAGGGGAAGGAAGGTGGTGTCTGACTGGACCCCCCGGGGGCTGTTCACTTTAGAGAAGGAGACGCTTCAGCACTAGAGGAACTCACACCCAGTACAGGCACCCCTGAGCACCCGCGACGTGGCTTCTGAAATCTACTGCGAGGGCCTGATCTGAGATGCCGAGGAACTGCAAGCAGAACTCATCGTTACATTGAGGCTAGAGGTAAACAACATGGTGCCCTGCATGCGGGGTCACAGTGAAGGCTGACCAACCCGGAGCAGGTGCCGTGTGTCAGATGGGCACGAGCTCTGGGCCAGAGCAGTGCGAATCCTGCTCTACACATGCTGCCCACCTTCCCTGCATGACGGGGCCAGGCCGTACCCTGTCCGGGCCATGGAGGTGAACAAAGCTGAAAATGGAAATTATGACCCAGCGAGGGCCTGGCCGCCACCTCAGGGGTGACCTCCTCCCCTCTCCCCTCCAGGTGCATCTCTGTCAGGCAGCGGCTCAGAGGGCAGCCTGGGAAATGGACGCCAGACATGCATGTGTGTCTGAAACACGAAACATAAAGTCATCTCTGAAAGGATTTGCACCTCGTTAACAAATGTTTGAAAGAAAGGACTTGAAAACGTTCAAAGTGGTGCTCCTAGAATTATGGGTATTTCCCCTTTTGGTTTTGCATCTTCTAAGTGTTGTGCTGGGTGTGCATCTCCTCCTACCTCGGAAAACCTCAATTAGCCGCAGATGTGGGATTCCGCGCAAGAGCTGTGTGCGTGAAGCCGTGTGGAGGCTCTTGGCAAGCGGATCAACGGCCCGTAGCCCCATTACCTTCTCCAACAGAAACAGCGCTTCTGTGGCCCCCGCGCTGCCGGCCAGCACAGCCACGTCCTCCTCCGTGATCACTGGCTCCTTCAGCTGCTCCACCCAAGACCACATCAAACTGCACAGGACGGAAGGGTCCCTTTCGCCACATATTCTGTCCCAAGCTCCGTCCCGGGAATTTAGTTCTTTCTAAAAAGAAGGGAAGAAAGAGGAAGAGAAAAAGGGAGAGGAAGGAGAGGGAGAAGGAAGAGGGAGAGAGAGGGAGAAGGAGAGGGATAAAGGGGGAGGGGGAGGGAAAAGGATAAAAGCGGAGGGAGAGAGGAGGGAGAAGGGGAGAGGAGAGGAAGAGAAAAGGGGAGGGCAGGGGAGAGGATGGGCAGTGGAAAGGAGGGGGAGGGGTGGAGAGGGGAAGAGGGAGGAAGGGGAGGGGAAAGGGGTAGGTATGAGAGTGAGAGGGGGAAGAACAGTGAGAAAAGGGGGAGCAGGAGGGGAGGGATGAGGAGGAGGAGGGAGGAGGTAAAGGGAGAGGGAGGGGTGGGGTGAAGAGGAGGAGAGAGGAGAGGGAGGGGTGGGGTGAAGAGGGAGAGGGAGGAGGTAAAGGGAGAGTGAGAGTGAGGAGGAAAGGGGGAGGGGAAAGGGAAGAAAAAAAGGAGTAGGGAGGGGGGAAAGGGAGAGGGGGAGAGGGTGGAAAGGGGAAGGGGAGGGAAATGAGAAGGAGAGGTGAGAAGGGAGAGGGTGGGCAGAGGGAGGGGCAGAAAGGCAGCAGCACTGAGTCTTGAAGGCCCCCAGGCTGTCCCCAAGTGCCAGCCCCAGGCTCCCGGGTGTGGCTCTGGACACCCCCCTCCGCCGAGTGCCCCCACCTGCAGGTGGCACGCTGAGCTGAGACACTGAGTCTCTCTGAGCCTCAGTTTTGGTCTGTGAATCTGGGGGCCCCGCGTGTTGGGCTGATTAAGCTTAAGGTCTGCTCAAGTCTCCCCCACCCCCCAGAGGGCTGTGCTGGCCTCAGCGCTAAGCTCTGCACCCCACCCGAAACCACAGAAACTGTTCAGGAAGAGGGAGCCTTCCTTCGTAGGGTGCTTGGAACAAAGCAGAAGCACTCATTGCAGCGAAGCGGAACAGCAGACGAACATCTGCGTTAACCCAGGGTGAGGAAAAGCTCTGACTGAACCTCCCAGGTCGGCCCAGCCAAGAGCCTAAAGGCGGCAAGCGGGGTAAACGCACTTCTCTCCAATTCCCTTCCGGGTCCTATGTGAACACGTAACAGGCCCATGTCCTGAAATCGGATGGGCGAATGACCGGAAGTCTTGTCCATACCCCAAATGCCTGCGAACAATTTAACTGCTGACCTCACAGGGGGCATGGAAAAGAAGAATTTTAATCTCTGATGGGGTTCAGACATAGGTTTCAGTCAATACGGTGCGTGTACGCAACAATAACATGCGTAATAACTGCCGCATTCATTCATTCACTGTCCCGGAGGCCCAGAGGGCACACGTGTGGCCCAGGGAAGGGGCCCTCCCCCAGGAGCCCAAAGCAGAACGGGGCAGATGGCATTCCCCGGGTTTGGCTGGACCCTAGACGTGAGGCTCCTACCACTCTACTGCCGGGGTCCCCTGGCTCCCGGTCCCTCCTCCTCATCTCATAAAGAAGCCATGAGGTCAAGCTGTGGAGGCCCCGTTCCCAACAATCACGCCCAACAGATCTGATGTGCAGTGACCGGAGGAGGCTGGGCGGGACCGCACGACCCAGAGGCCCACCCAGTAACATGCCACCACGACCAGTGACATGCCACCACGCGCAGTGACATGCCACCATGCCCAGTAACATGCCACCACGTCATCCTATCAGAGGACACAGAGAATGCAGTTATCTGAGCTGCACCCCGCCCAGCTGCGTTGGGCCACATGACCTGACCCTTGTGACGCGTGGTTTCCCTGTCTGTGATGCTTAATTCATAAGGACGGTGAAGTTAACAAAGGACGTGTGGGGTATCACCCGCCTTACAGGTTCCTGCGAGAGCAAGTGACGCAGCAGATGAGACAGGAGGGAATTCAACTAACTGGTCTTATTACTGAAAGGCCCATAATGAGGCCCAGAAAGGGAAACAGGGGGCAAGCCTATCCAAACCAAAGGGGTATGTTCACCCCAAGGAAATGCTTTCGTACAGGAGGTGCTGCTCTGGCCCTCGCAGGGCTAGCCCACGAGGGGTCCCGCCGCCAGCTCTGTGGCACACGGCCACGCAAAGGAAGGGCCTGCAGACTGAGCAAAAGGCTCATTCAGTTTGCAGTGGGAAATAAAAGACCTGTGAGAAATCAATACAGGTTAGGTATTCACTCGGCAAACACCTGCGGTTCTGAGCGACAAGGATGAGGGGCACCTGCTCTGCAGTCACACGGCCGTGAGTGGGGGGGAGGCTCCCTGCCTTGGCTTCCTACCTCTGCATCCAGAAGGTTCCGACCCTCCCAGAAAGTGCACGTGCCTTGCTTATTAACACAGAATACAGAGGAGCGGCTGTGTGCTGGTTCGTGGGACATCACCGGCTAACGAGTCTAGACTCCACAGAGCCGGGCCACACCAGGTCAGCCCCACACCTGGGTGGTTTACTGGCTTCTGGTAACTAGCTGCTAAGGCCTACCTTTTTTGTCTACACCAGCTGTTCATTCCAGGCGAAGAGCACAGCTGATTTAAAACTGTGTTTCTAATGAAAGTACACCACAGAAAGGCGCTAAATTTCAACATTTCACATTCTAACTCAAGCAAAAGCCAAGAAATGGGCCCCAAAGATGGAAGGTCAGGAAGAAGGGATAGCACAAAGGCACTCTGTGACAGCTCCCATCCCTCTGTGGAATCGACTGCAGCCTAACCCGGGTGGCGGCAAGCATGCAGGAGGGAGCCATGAGCGACAGCGCCCGCCACGGGCCCCACCTCACTCAGCACTTGGGTCAACAACTTGGGGAAGGAATCTCGGCCCATGATTCTCCAGGTGCAGCCCCAGCCTGAGCTCAGAGTGGCCCCTGGGGCCCGGTCTCACAGGCCCAGCCAGAAGGAGGGGGCCCCCATCAATCAGTACCCAGGCCCTGCTCACTCAAGCACCCTGCTAAGTGCTAGGCACTGAGTCCTTTCTTTCACACAGACACTAAGAAACCTCAAGTTCCAAAGTTAAGTGTTACACAAACAGGTCTTCAGACTCCTGGGGTGCTTAAATTTGGTAAGAGAGACTCTGTTTCAGCTCTGACTTAAGCGTTGCCCACGCGTTAGTTACAGGAGGTGTAAATACCTGCCACATCTCTACCTTCCTCCTCACTTCCTCCTCTTCTGCAAGCTCACTGAGATTCGCCAGCGCTTTGGCCGCCACCATTCTCCTGGCCTCGACACTCAGTTCAGCCTGCGGAGCAGTCTGCGCAGGCACCTCAGGCAGATCTTTGCCATCCTGGGCTGTGGGTCCAACAGAGGAGGGTGCATTGTGGTGGAAGCCACAGTCCAAGCCACAGTCCCTGGGGCCATAGGAAGTCTCAGGGTGGTGAGCGGTGGGAGCGCCACACTGGTGGGGCGCTTGCTGGGGACAGCGGTCCGGCTCCTTAGGGGCATCTGCAAAGCTGGGTCTCCCCAGGTCCCCAGGGTTGTAGGAACCTGAAACCCCCGAGAAGAAGGTTCTACTCCGCGGTACTTCCTTCGAGATGGTGTCCCTATGGAAACCCGGTGACCCCTCATCTCTGAGTCCTTCCGGGCCTCCAAATTTAGCCTGATTCCAGAAAGAGAATGTATTTCGGATCAGTGTTTCCTTGCTCAGATCAAGGGGTGGAGACTGGGGAGTGTGACAGTGGCCTATGGGCTTCTGCTGCCCGGGGTTATGGCCCTGTGAGGCTGGGGCCGGCCCCGTCCACGGAGCTGCCCCCTGCCCCAGAAGCGACTCAGCCCTCTTTAAGTCCGAGTCACTGAAGCTGAATCGCCTTTTCAGAGGAGTCAGGGGCTGAAGGCATTCGACATTCCGCCTCTTCCAAAGAGGGTCAATCTGCTGTTCGCTGGAAAGAATCACATCCTGGTTCTCAAAATCCGCAGCCACTGTGGCAGGCGGGAACGAGTCGGAGGCGTCGCTGCCCTGCCTCAGGAGCTCTTTGTCCAGCTGCATGGTGACCACCTCAGAGACGGTCTTTTCAATCTCCGCGCACAGGCTGGGCCCCTCTGCCACCTCTTCCGTCGCCACTGGCCTGTTCTCGGCTAAGTCCAGCAGCAATTTGCAAACAAGGTGGATAATTTTGGGTATGTGTTTCAGAAGGCGGGCCTCATAACCGTGAAGCAGATGCCGCTGGCGAATCAGATACTGTGCTAGCGTAACAGCGTGTGCTCTGGGGTCACAGCAAGAGAAGATATTGCGAAGAGGAACGAGAAACTGAGTAAATTCCCTCACACAGAGGAGCTGTCCCCGAGTCTGTATGGAATTGGGCCGCTTTGCCCGAACAAATATAATTGCTTGGTCGGCAGTCATTCTCGTTGCAAAAACTAAGTAACATGCTATTAAAACACCTAGAGGTAAAGAGAAGATTGGTATGAGGAAGTTTATCATTTATTTATCACTCTTTCAAATTTAAAATTTGAGGGGCGCCTGGGTGGCTCAGTCAGTTAAGTGTCCAACTTCGGCTCAGGTCATGATCTCACGGTTCGTGGGTTTGAGCCCCATGTCAGGCTCTGTGTTGAACTCTTGCTCAGAGCCGAGAGGCTGCTTCAGATTCTGTGTCTCCTTCTCTCTCTGCCCCTCCCAGCTCATGCTCTGTCTCACTCTATTACTCAAAAATAAATAAATGTATAAAATAAATAAATAAAATTTAAAATTTGAGTATCTGTTAGGAAACCATATAAAGAATAATTTTAAGAGCAGTTATAACTTACTGACTTCTTGTAAAAGTGTTTATTCACTTGTCTGTATGTCATCTTTTCCCCTGAGAATCCAGTCATCTCTACCCAGAGAAGGACAGTGTGGTGAGGGGATGGGGGGATGAGGAGGAGTGTGGTGAGGGGATGAGGGAGAGTGTGGTGAGGGGGGATGAGGGACAGTGAGAGGGATGGGGGGATGAGGGACAGTGTGGTGAGGAGGATGAGGGAGAGAATGGTGAGGGGAATGAGGGAGAGTGTGGTGAGGGGGGAGGGGGATGAGGGAGAGTGCAGTGAGGGGGATGAGAGAGAGTGTGGTGAGGCGGCTGAAGAAGAGTGTGGCGTGAGGAAGAGTGTGGTGAGGGGGACGAGGAAGTGAGAGGGGATGAGGCAGAGTGCGGTGAGGGGAAGGTCCACCAGTGTGTGTGGACTGACTGGATGGGATATTTTAAGGGTGTTCGGAGCAGGAAACAGACCCCAGATTTGATTTGGTCCCCGCGGGGCTGGGAATCAGAGGCTGGACCATGGTCCCCTCCATTACCGCCCCCTTCCCTGCACACTTCCTTCCTACCTCCGCCAGCTTTGCCATCAGCTGTTGCCACATTCCCAGCCTGGCATTTTTCCTTTCTGGGCATTTTTTCTTTGGGGATTGTTTATATTCAGTCTATTTCTGGACGTTTTGTCTACACTAATAGTGCTTTTCTCCAGACCAAGATATAAGTTTATTCTGTAAGTACTTGTCATTAAAGAAAACAACCTTAGCATTACAAACATATGTTTGCATTAATTAATATGAAATTAAAGTAAATAACATACTGGTGATAATTGATTAATTAATCCAACTATAACGGTTGACTAATATCACGGTAAAAGGCCAATCAGGAGACGTGTGTGATTCCCAAGTTTGCTGCCCTTGCAGAACGGTGCCGCCCTCCTGACGCTCCCAGGTGGGGGCGGGGGCGCAGCTCAGGTGCCTGTCTGCTCAGACCAGATTACGATTAAGATTCTAACCTGACGGTATTTCTTTTTGTGATACTGTCAGCACTGCAATGAGATTTGCTGCATTTTTAAGTAAAATCACTGATATTTACATAGAATTTGAAGCACAGACAAAACAAAATCCTTCCAGCTCTGAATTTAAATCCTGGCTCTCCCACTTACTCAATGCAGCAAACTACTTAACCATCTTCAAAGTTCACATGGTTACTAAAGACAAAAATGACAGCAAGTGTAAAATGCCTAGAACACACCAAATGAAACAATGCTTTCTCTTCTCATTACTTTGGTTAAGGAAAATTACATTTTTAAAATACATAACTATTAAAGTGTTGGGTTTTTTTTTCTTTGAAGAAAAACCAGAGTGATTGTTTAGTGAGCCGTGGAAACCTATCTGTTTACTAAATATAACGAGTTTTCAGTCCTAGGTCTTTCAAAAATACTCTCACAAATAAACGGTCACTGAACTATCTTTTCAAAGATAGTTCAAATTTCTTTCAGTGGCTTCTTTCATTTGAACCCATAACTTTGACAGGATTCTGTCAAATACTTCTCTTCTCAAACTAGGAAGCATTATTTCGTCCATGTTCAGATGTGCTCTAAGACAGTAAGTCCACATCCTAGAATTTACCTGTTCGACCCAGCCCTGCGTGACAATGGATGGCTACTTTTCCTTCCTGTAAGGCAAATGTCGTTACCTTCACCATATCTAAGATGGCAGTGAGCGACGCCACACCATAATCCTTCCATCCGAAATTGTAGAAATAGACTGGACGGTGAAAAAGAGAACAGGAAAGAAAAATCAACACACAGGACAGTACATGCACAGCCACGTGAAGGGCACGCGTGGGTTGAGGAAAAGCGTGTGGCCGTGAGGCCGGCTGGCTGCACCGCATGCGGAGGCTGGAATAATAGGCTCTTTATATTCCTAGTAAGTTCACTGTTCACATTTCTTACAAAGTACATTCTCTATTACTCAAGACATTTCCTGCTAAAACTCAGCCAGAAACAATTAAGGAGAAATAGAACTGCAGATTAATAAAGGCCACAGCCTTCACCCAAATTACTCGGCCACAGAAGGACAGCATGCCATCTTTTTCAAGCGTGGAAATGCATCTAAAGGACTGGTAAGTGGCACCAGCTGGGTGCATACAGATTTTCCACCGAGTGGAGACAAAAAATGCCAGGCACACGCTTCTCTAAAACAAGTCCCCACAGTGGCCTGGGCTAGTCCTTTCCTGCCCGGCGAGAATGGCACGCGTTGAGGGACGCCATCCCCGGGCTCCCGGGACTGCCCCGTGAAGGACCCTGCATCCTGCCCGGGGCCAGAGCGGGGCAGCAGTGACAGCGTTAGTGAGGGCTGTGTTCCAGTCCCACTGCCGCGAGTAAGCTGTGTGGTCTGAGTCGGAACAGAGAGCAGTACCACGAAATGGGATGGATGGGCAGGACAGGTCTGGTGCACTGTGACCGGAATTAATGGACGCTTTGTTTCTACAGGGCTCCTCCCAAGATCACTCACACAGGACAAAAGAAATCCTGTATTTCCAGCAGTAATGCCAGAGAAGAATGGTCACATTATCTAGAATCAATCAGCTCTTCTCCCCGGTGGGAGCCTGCAGTAAGCGTTCCGCCATTCTGTCACCCTCTGACCTAAGAGCGGAGCGGGAAGCCTGGGTGCTGCCCTCGGTCACTCATAGAAGGGAGGTGGGGGGACTTACTGCCGGCCTCCATGAAAGCTTCGGGAAGGTACGTGAAGCCACTCTCTTGCTCCAGGGGGTTCCCGCAGCTCGCATGCTCCCCAGGGCGCTGCAGGTTGATGATTGTCTTTATGCCATTGCTCACCGGAGAAAAGAAAGAAGTTTTAAAAGATCAACCATTTCTGGCATTAATAAACATTACCAATTACTCTCAAAACTTTAATTTCCTAGTTGAAAAAGCTCTTCACTGCCTACTCTTTGATTATTTGAAGCCAAAAGTGATGGATGAACGCACACGAGCCGGCTTCTCGAAATGTGTAAGCGATGTGGCATTTACCTTCGGAACTGCTCGATGATGTGGTACTTCTCGAGGAGCTCAGTGGACGGGCGAGCCATGGCCAGGATATTGTCAGTGACCCTGAGATGGGAGGAGGCCGCTGGTGAGATGCATAAAACCTGGAACGTTCCAGTTCTAAGGACTAGAGAGCAAGTTATCAAGTCCCTGCTTTTTCTATGATTTCAACAATTCTAGAACAATTTTCTCATACAGCTCTGGCTTCAGTTTTGCATCACAACTAGGGCTCTAAGAGACCCTGAATCCCTGGAGAAAACCCCAGGACGTAAAGTATTTGTGGACTGCAGCAGAGTGTTCTCAAGGACCTTCATGAGAGTCTAGCAGACGTGATGGAGCCACCTCATCAGGCATCAAAGGCACTTCTGCCCCCTCAGTCACCCACTATGTGGGGCAGGGTAACACGTGCCTCATGCGGCTGGCAAGACAACTGGACACGGTGTGGGTGTAAAGTCTTCAGCACAAATCCCGGCGGGTGGTTTTGAATAAATACCGAGTTATTGTAATTTGGCAAAACATACGGGCTTCGGAGTCAGCTGGGCCTGGTTTCAAATGCTGGCTTTTCTGCTTTCTGCTGAGGCGTAGATTACTTAGTTGGTCTGGACTCAATTCCCTCATCAATAAAATGACTTTAACAATGTCTACTTTCTCAGAGCTTCATGAAAATGACATTACAATGGGACAGTGTCTAGCAGAGTGTCTGCTCTGTAGACGAATGGATGTTTATGGAAAGTACAAATGGACAGAGGCCCAAAAGGCAGTGGCCCCCGCTTTGGGCTCTGGTGAGAGACCTACCAGGCAGGCCACCGGGGGCTGTGGGCCCCACGAACAGGGACGTCGGCTGAGCCCTGGCATTTAACGGGGACCCCCCCAAGTTCAGCAGTACTTAGACCGAGGCAAGGACAGAAGTACCATGAAAGCATCAGAGGTGAAAGATGGCTTAGTCAACAACAAAACAAAAACATTAATGTGGCCTCAAGTTGCATTATTAGAAATTTAGGATCCGACCACATCTCAGGAACAGTGCTTGCCTTCTCACAACATTCCTCAGGCTAGAACTCGAGGAACAGCACATTCGGGGCGGCCGCCGACCCCACCACCACACATGTGCCAGCACCCCAGGACACAAAGGCGCAGGGCGCAGTCAGCCAAGCCAGTGGACAAGCGTCTGACTTGTAAGTGGATTCTCGCCGCAGGAAATGACTCACCGATAGAGTTCTTTAAACAGTGAACTCTTAGTGGGTTTCAGGCGTGATTTGGCTTGATTACCAGAATTTTTCAGAGGTATCACTACATCAAAACAAGCATAAACAGTTTACTGTTCATAACAGAAAGTAGTACGACTGAATGCCGTGCAAGCTGCAGTCCATACCACGCACAACGCACGCGCCTTACGCCGTCCACCGAACCAACACTGCGCACCGCTCCCCACTGAGGCGGACGGGCAGCGTGTGCGCCCAGGTGCGCCCTTTCACGCAGCAGACAGGAGCACACAGGAGGCCAACGGTACCTGTGTCAGACCAGAAACCTACACATGCACCTCGTAACGTAACCTTACAGCCGAACCCGGTATTTCCAGTAACTTGTGACATTTAAGACCTCTCCAGTTAGCGTTTCTTTACAATACTTTACACACACCATTTCTCTTACTTAAAATACCCCTACGGGGTGGTTTTATTATTTCCATCTCACCGATGAGGAAACGGAGGTTCCCACAGGCCCACATGGGGTTGAGACCTGCTGGCCGCACGGCCCCGCCGCCCAACGCAGGCGCCCGGGGCCACTCACCAGCACGAGTAGACCCCCTCGATGGCCCGCTGCCCAGCGCAGGCGCCCGGGGCCACTCACCAGCACGAGTAGACCCCCTCGATGGCCCGCCCCGGGGCCACTCACCAGCACGAGTAGACCCCCTCGATGGCTTGCTCTTGCTCGCTCCAGCGCGCTGGGTTTTCGTACTTGCAAGCTCTGCCACCACACGCCACGGAGCAGGCCACATGTCCGGGAATCACGTGCCGCAGCCGCTCTCCCACCTTTGTGTACTTTGGCGCTGGGCGTCCTGGATTCCCTAGAAGATATAAGGAAGGGAAGATTCAAAATCTATTCTCCAAATGGAAGAGTAACATGAGAACAGCTTCCAGGACTGGAGACGACAGCCCGCGCTGCGTCCCCTCATTCTGTCACAATGGAGCTGCTGCCTTGGCGTCTCCGTGCAGGGTCTCCCAGCAGAGAAAAGGCTCTCACACACGATCACCTCCACGTGTCACACTGCTGGCGAAGAGGAAGAAACAGGAAAGCAGATCTTTTACAAGGGCATGAGTATTTTTTCAAAAATTATGTATTTAATGAAAAAGCACAAAACATTCAATCACGTTATCTCCTATTCCATGTCCATTGAGGCCCTGAGTACAACAGACGGTAAAAAGCAGAACACAGAATTAACTGTCAAACCCTAGAAGGTCTCAGCACAGCACACCGGCTTCGCTCCGAGTTTATACTCAAAGCTGCGGCCATCTCAAAGAAGGAAAAGAGCTTTACTTTTTCTCTGGAGGCACGCTGGGTCTCTGTCGGCGCGGTGGACGGAGGCCACGGCCACCATCACCTGCAGCGAGGACGAGGACAGCGTCTGGGCGGCGGAGCCCCGGCGGCCCGGCTGCAGCTGCAGGACGGGGTCCGAGGCCGAGTGCCGGCGGCCCTGCAGGAAGGCGCTGAGGAAGGGCAGGGCGGAGCCCCGCCGGGGCAGGTCCTGCATGGCAGGGGATGGCAGCGCCAGCCCGCTCCGCCACCAACTTACTGAGCCCTGAGCACCAGCCTGCGATCAGCCTGCGAGATCTACCAGCCCGAGAGGCGGGCCTGTTGCCGTGGTGACGAACAAAGAAACTACTGATTCCCACTCAGAGCTGCACCCGCGAAATCCCACATGAATGGACTGCAGTTTGGACGGATTGTTTGAGCAGAGGGAAGAGGAACGTGTATTTTCAATAGATTATACCTAAGTTGCAGCTAGTCTCTTTTGTTTCTCAGACACAGTTGGAAGTTCTAACAGCTCAAAGAATTACATCGAACACACTGTGGTGAATCCAGAAAAATGTGTTTATGACACAGACACCGCCTTTTATACACACTTTAAAAGGTTTAAATTCTGCTGTTCCTTTCGTATCTGTTCTCTGAACATCCTGAAATCCCTTCCGTTTCCACCCCTCTGGGCCCAGGGCAGGGAAGTGAACCCTGAGGAAGGATTCGCAGCACAGCTCCTATTGTTATTAAAACACCACTCAGTTCCTCAAAACCAATGCCTCCTGTAATTTTCTCTATACAGTTTTTAAAAAATATAGGGATAGAATAAAGACGTGTGTAGGGTTGATGTTTTAATCAGAAGACCTTTACTTTAGTAGTTTTATTTTCAGAACATGACAACACAACCCCTGGTCGTGCCTTTATTGGGCTGTGACAGCAGCCAGGCCTCTCAGAAACTCCCAGATGCAATTCTGTGCCTTTTGTCACTGACTGCGGTGTGTGGGGGGTGGGGGGTGCTGGGGAGTGGGCGACGCTTCAGGAATGTCCTGGTGGAGGCGTGCAGAAAAAATTCACTAAGTACCACATTCCTGTCAGGAGCTGGGTGAGGAGGAGGCTGCAAGCTGAGAACAGACAATCCAGCACTGCAGTCGCCTCCTCCTTTGGAGGCATGGGCTGCGCCCGCCCCGTCTCCCTGCCTCTCTCTGTCTCTCCAGGGGGTGTTTCAGCCGCGTGCACACAGAGCACTTGTGTGTTTGTTCATTTCCTAGGTTCAGCCATGCTGTCGGCAAGCTCCTTCTAAAGCACATGCCTAACTCCCCAACCCAGACAGAGAAGCTAAGTTGGTGCCCAAATTCCTACTCTGCGTGTAGTGCCAGGACCTTGTCACTTCACATACAGCGATGGGAAAAAAGTCATTGTTGTTGTTAAGTAGGCTTCACACTCAGCGCAGAGTCTGACGCGGGGCCTGAACTCACCACCCTGAGATCGAGACCCGAGCTGAGATCAGGAGTCAGATGCTCAACCGACTGAGCCACAAGGCCCCGTTCGCATAAGCGACCAGAAAGCGCAGCTTCCACAGAGCCCTACGGGAGAGCCCAGAGTACAGGGCCCACATCTCGGGGGAGCTGGAGCCTCCCGGCCTCTAACTCAGGGGCCGGCCTCTGCTGTGCGGGGTAGAGGGTCCAAGCAAGGCTCTCGGTGGCGGGTCACGGGGCGGGGAGCCGAGGCCCAGGAGCCTGCTGGGACAGCTGCAGAGCGAGCGGATTCAAGCAACGTGCCAGAGCCTGCATGAGCGGACAGCTGGGAGCTGGGGTTCAGGTCCCGCGGCCGGGTGGCCAGCTCCACTGTGGGAAAGGCGTGCGAGTAGGAGACGTCTCACGCCTGCGGCGCTAAGGACACCCCCAGATGAGGGCGCAAGGGACGCTGCTCTCAACGCTTTCACCAAGGAAAATGGCTTTGCCAAGGGCGGGCCTGGTCTGCACGCAGCTGAGGAAGGACGGACGGCTCACGTGTCCTCTCAAGACTCGTCTCCGCTGTGAAATCCGCAGAAGTGGCCGACTCACTTAAACGTGTCAGCACCGAGTGGGCGCCCGGGCACCCTGAGTGCAGGCCCTCCTGCGAGCACATCCTCTGGCTCAGCCTGGACGCCCAAGGCGCTGCAGGTCCACCCGGGGGCTCACCCTGCTCCCCCGCAAAGCACCGCCGCTCGGCCGACTCAGCCTCCAAGAAAGCTCATTTTAACCTGTACCAAACGGTTTTCTGGTAGGGAAGTGAGCCTCCGTCCCTCCTGAGACCACATCGCCCCCCTTCTGCCTGTCCCCGCTCCTGTCTGTCCCCCTAGACCGCCACCGCCCCTCCCCTCCGGTCTGTCCGCACAGGGACCTTGGGCATCTGGAAGCACACCACAAGCCATTCTCTGCCTTTCTTCACGCCCGCCCGGGGGCTCACTCACAGATACACACGCAGGAACATCGCCATTGACCCACTCCCGCCCTCGCTGCCAGACATTCAGGCCACCATCCCCAACTTTATTTACAAACAAGACACAAACATTTCAGGCCCAGGGCCTTTTTATTTCAGCGTTTCTCCTTCCGCAAACCCCCAGGGGTGAGGTGGCTGGTGAGCAGACTGCACCGTCAAAACTCAGACTTCCATTTGGCTGAGTCTTTACATGTTTCAACAACCACGTGTGAAGACGCTGAAAGGGGAAATATTTTTAAAAACCCAATACAGGTTTTTTCAGACGTCAGAGAGAAACATGGCATTAAAATAGGATCGAAAAAAGCCTTCTCGGAGATGCTTTGTTTCTACCTCACTGACCTCAGAAATCTCACATCTCCTTAATTTGTGGCCTGCAAAAACCATGTTTTTGTTCACAGAAAGTTGCCAGATATCAATCCTGCAACAACTCTAAAGAAATTGTTTTCAAACTCCTGGAAGAAAAAGTATTATACTTGTACCAAACTGGTCTTTCCTTTTGTGTTCATTAAGAAAGCATATTTGTACAGCCAAAAAATACACTAGAAAATTTAGTTTATAATTTATACTTACAAATTCATATCAAATTATAATAAATAACTTATAATCGGGATGAATTATAGATGGCTAATGATGAACTATTTGGACTCTGAGAAAAAACATTTTAATACTGAAATCCCCAGGGGAGCCTGGGTAGCTCAGTCGGTTGAGCGTCCGACTTCAGCTCAGGTCATGATCACATGGTTCATGGGTTCGAGCCCCGCGTCGGGCTCTGTGCTGACAGCTCACAGCCTGGAGCTGCTTCAGATTCTGCGTCTCCCTCTCTCTCTGACCCTCCCCTGCTCACATGTCTCTCTCTCTCAGAAATAAGCATTAAAAAAAAAAAATTAAAAAAAAAAAAAAAAAGAAATCCCCAGTAGGAAAAAAATAGAAGACTTCTCTTTAGACAAACAGAAGCAACAAGACTTTTAATTCCTATTTCATGCTCTATATAAAACAGAACTTTTTAGAGTCAGGGTAATTTTGTGAGGGGCCATGCTTTCAGCAGATACTTAAAAGGTAAAGAGTGTCTTCTTCCCCTGGTGGCCACAGAGAGCGCCATTATTATAAGCTCCCTGTCCACCCACAGTTCTGGTTTATTTGCCACAAGTGCCTTCCCACTCACCTGCTAATAAATCATCTGTTTTCACTGCTCTGCCAACATATTTGCCGATGAAAAATACATAAGAAAAAAATGTCAGTTTCCTACATTCCCTAAATATAGACGCATGGGGACCCCACCTTCCTACTATTCTTACCCTTCTCTTCACTTCCAAATATGCGGTCTCTAAAAAGAAACCAGGCTCCAGGAAGTAGGAAAACAATGCCCTGAGCTGCTGTCACCACCAACGCATAGACGGCCCCTCAAAGCATGAAGAATGGGGGCATTGGGTGCCCATCTCCATGTCGTAACACGCTCCCGGGCAATGGCCTGTGTGCAGATGGGCAACCAGAACTTCGCCAGTTCAGAATAGTTTATGGAATCAGGGATGTCCTGGTCACTGCAAATGTGAAACCGTCTAGTCCTGCGATGAGGGCAGTAAGCGCCGGGGGAATCCCACTGTCCTCTCCTCTCCAGTTGCCATGCGCAGCGGTTAAAGCAGACGTGGAGCCCCAAGAACCAGTCATTTTCTCTCACGTTCAAGGTTTCAGAAATGGCGGGGAACTTCCTAGTTGAACAACATCATGTGATCGTGGTGGGAGCTGCAGGTCCATGTGGCCCCAGCCCTCAGTCACCAGGCCAGCCACGTCCAGGAGCCGGGCAGGATGCCAACTGCGCCGTGTCTGCTTGCCACGTTCTGCGCCGGGAGGCTCACTTCTCGCAGGACTAGCAGGCATGCAGCTGCTGGACAGCTCGGCGTGGTCCCCACGGCCAGTCAGAGCCCCCCCTCTGTGAACACTGGCTCTGCTTCGTTCCTCCACAAGTTAGCATCTCTTTGACTTTGCAAGATCTTCAAATATTTGAAGACAGAACTTCTCCAAAACTTGCCCTACTTGGGCTGAGGCTTCCTGATTTTCCAAGCAGACGTCACT